GGGGGGAGCGGGGACAAGAGAGCCTCACTGAAGCCTGCCCGCATCTGTGACCGACCGAGGTCAGCCACCAAGGTCAGGCAGCTTCCAGGGTGCCATGTACGAGCAAAGTGATATCCTGCCCATGTCTGCCCTTTGTGTGCCACGGGAAGCGCACATGACCAACAGGAAGGGGCGGAGGGGAGATAGAGAGACAGACTGAGGGAGGGCGCGCGAGGTAACGAGAGAGAGAGAGAGAGACAGACAGACAGACAGACAGACAGACAGACAGACAGACAGACAGACAGACAGACCGACAGACAGACAGACAAACTGGCATAGGGACAGAGAGGGAGAGAACGAGAGAAAGAGAGATAGAGGGAGAGAGAGAGAGAGAGAGAAAGAGAGACAGAGGGAGGGGGGGGCGGAGAACAGCACATGTAAAAACACATGCCTGCATCTAGGTACCCGCGTATGTATTTTATGACCCAGGGCCGAAGGCTCACGGGCCCTCGCCCCCATGGGTGGGATCGGCTCCAGGGTTCCAGCCCCCCCCCCCTTACGCCCCCCAGACGGGTGCCACCCCCCAGATGGGATGTGCCTGGGATGTGGGGGGGGACGACGACGACGACGACGACGACGACGACGACGGCGGCGGCGACGACGACGACGACGACGACGACGACGGCGGCGACGCCGACGACGCCGACGACGACGACGGCCGACGACGACGACGACGACGGCGGCGGCGAGCGACGACAGCGATCCAGCACCATCCCACGCTCACAGACAAGGGGAGAGGCGGGGACAATGGCACCCCCTTCCGCCACGCCAGCCCCGCGGTGCCCCCAACAGGTGCCTGACCGCAGCGCGAGGAGGATGAGGAGGAGGAGGAGGAGGAGGAGGAGGAGGAGGAGGAGGAGGAGGAGGAGGAGGAGGAGGAGGAGGCGGAGGGGGGGGGGAGGAGGAGGACGAGGAGGAGGAGGAGGAGGAGGAGGAGAGGAGGAGGAGGAGGAGGAGGAGGAGGGGAGGAGAGGGAGGGGGGAGGGGAGGGGGAGGGGAGGGGGGGGGGGCATATTCACGAGGCCCTCGCGAGGCTCACAGGCGCACCCATGCAGCGGCGGGAGGGGGGAGGGGCAATCCCACTAGCATTGGAGGGGGGTCCGAGCCCTGGACCATGTCTAATTATACTACTTATACAGAGAGAGAGGGGGGGGGGGGACGACACGATGAGTGGAGGGGGATGCGCACGGGGGAGCGGGAGGAGAACGGAGGGGGCGTGTCGAGAGCAGATCGTCGCACAGCAGACAGCAAGTCTGCCTTGCGCTCTCGCCGCGTCTGGCCACCGTCGCACGTCTTGTCGCACTTGGTCCAGTCTGTCCACTCCGAATAGTCGCAGTCCTGCCGAGGCTCTCTCTCTCCTTCTCTACATATATATGTATACATGTATGCCTCTCTCTTCTGTCCACTCAGAGAAGTCTCAGTCCTGCCGAGGTTATCCATGTCTCTCTCTCTCTCTCTATCTCTCTCCCTCCGTCTCTTTTTCTCTCTCTCTCTCTCTCTGCACCCCGCCCCGTCCCCCCACCTCCTCCTCTTCCCCTTCCCCGCATGCTCTCGCTCCTCCTGCCCCCTCCCATATTCAATTCCTCCACCACCACCCTCGTCCTCAGTTTCCTCACCCCCTGTCCTCCTCATACTCTCCCCGTCCTGCTCCATCTTCCCCTCTCCTCCTCCTCCCCATACTCAACTTCCTCTTCCTCCTCCTCCTCCTCCTCCTCCTCCCAACTCCTCCTCCTCCCCTCCTCCTCCTCCTCCTCCCTCCTCCTCCTCCTCCTCCTCCCTCCTCCTCCTCCTCTCCCCCCCCCCTCCTCCTCCTCCTCTCCTCCTCCTCCTCCTCCTCCCTCCTCCTCCTCCTCCCCCTCTCCTCCCCCTCCTCCTCCTCCCCCCCTCCTCCTCCTCCCTCCTCCTCCTCCTCCTCCTCCTCCTCCTCCTCCTCCTCCCGCCTCATCTCCGCCGCCGTGACGCGAGGCAAGGAGCGGAGCGCGAGCAAGCAAGCCCCCTCCGTGCTCCCTATGGCGCAGCACGTGGCAGTGTGTACGGCGCCCAGACCCCCCCCCCAACTCGCGGATCTGCCGCGGCGCGGCGCGGAGCGCAGGTGGGCGGGCCCCTCCGTGCCCCGTCATGCCTAGCATAGCACGTGCGGGCACTTGCGGGGCCGAGCCCCTGGGGTGGGACCCCGTGGATGCGGGGCGTTCGCTCGCGGATGCCCCGCGCGGTGAGCGTGTCCATGCCGCGTAATGCGGGATGACGATTAATACATACATGGGAGAGAACGATTAACACAATAGTTTTCTGCTATTTCTGTACAAGTTTCTGACTGGAGGAGAACGATTTTAAAAAATAGTTTTCCAGGCCGCGGCCAGTTTTTTCTAATCGTCATCCCGGGCGCCGCCGCGTGAACACGACCCCCGGCCATTTATTAATCGTCATCCTCCATTGCTTACGGGGCCGCACCCCTGGGGTGGGACCCCGTGACTGCGGGGCGTTCTCTCGCGGATGCCCCGCGCGGTGAGCGCGTCCATTTGCCGCTCATCCCCGGGCTCGCGCCCCCGAGTCCCTCCCGCGCTGGCGCGGATGCGGACGTGGTCGCCGCTCGTGGGCGGGGCCACCGCGGACCCGCGCGCCCCTCCCCTTCCCCCGCCCCTTGCCTTGCGCGACGCGTGAGGCCAGAGGGGCTTGAATCCTCGAGTCGGCCCCGCTTCGCTCGGCGTGGAGGCGGCGGCCGGACCCCGTGGCAGACGCGGGCGCTGGACCCCAGGGGCCTTTTCTGGGACCAGCTGAGGGCCAGAGGAGGAACGTGTACCGATGACGCAGCTCGTCCTGGAGAGCTCTCGTCGATACGGCCGCAGCCTCCCCGGAATTCGGGTCAGAGCGCACCCTGGGAAAAAGGTCCCAGAAGTAGCGGTTTTGGGCAACTATCTTTCTGTCCTCCCCGTGGGGGTCCCAGCGCGGCGCGGTGGCAGACCCTGCGGTGACCCCGAGCGCCGCAACTGACCTCACCGCGCGGTCCATCACCGCCCCGTTCTTGGACCTCGATACTCGCGCATGGGCCGATCTCTCTGAACCGGGCAAGCCCAGTCTTGGTCTTGAGGTCACGCCATGGGATAATTACCACTGAATCGGTCGTGACCTTCGGCGGGAGGTCTGGACCAAATGGGCCCCGCAGAAGCACTGCAGAGTTCCCTCGCGCGCCAGCACGCAACGACAATATCGCGGAATTCGGCCCGCAAGTGCGAGCGAAAGCTGACGATGCTATGAACTCCTTACTCTTTGTTGGCGGCCGTCTCGCCCACCGCATTATTTGCGTCCGGAGGGGCATCTTTCGACGATCCTAGGCGGAGTCCGAAGCGAAGTGTTTGGAATCACTGCTTCTCGACTGCAGCGCGCGCTTGCGATTGCCCGGGCCGATGCCGAAGCGCCGCGGGGCTCCACCCGAGGAGTGCCGAGGGGCCCCCCGAAAGGCCGTCGCGCAGGGCATGCGGCAAGGGGGTCGCGGCAGGGGCTCCGCAGGCCTGCCTCTGCCAGCCCGCGCGGCGCTCGAGCCGGAGGTGGCCACGGCGGAGGAGTGGCGACGGGATGAGGGCGGAGGAGGGGGATGAGGAGGGCGGAGGAGTAGAGGAGGGCAAAGGGCGGAGGTAGGGCGAGGGAGCGGAAACGGGAGGAGGGCGGAGGAGGGCGGAGGAGGAGGAGGGAACGGGAGGAGGGCGGAGCTGGAGGGGACGAGGAGGAGGATTCCCCAGGACTACCCCTCGAACTCGCAGAGAGTAGGAAGAGGCGGGCAGGATGAGGAGAAAGACTCCTTTCGAACTCGCCCTCCGGATCACTGGGGTAACTGAAGGACGAGGAGGAGGAGGAGGAGGAGGAGGAGGAGGAAGAGGAGGAGGAGGGGGGAGAGGATGAAGGAGGAGGAATCCTCCCCTCGAACTCGCCCGCAGTAGTTCCCGTAGATTTCGGCAGTTGTCTGAAGCTTCCCGCGGCGTTCCATTTCCCCCTTCCAATGCCACGCAGGATTTCCGGGGTGTAAAGGCAGAGGGCTCTGGGAAAGGGGAGCAGTGGAGGAGGGAAGTAGCAAGGCAAAGAGGGACGGAAGGTGGATGCAAGGGGAGGGGAGGGAGAACTAAGAACCGGGTGTTGGGACGGACGATGCTCTACCTTTTTTTTCGGAAGTGTCGTGATAAAAGGTATATGCCACGGTCGGCATCCTGGCTCACCCGTCCTCCTGAGGCAGACTGCGCGTCGAGCACAATCTCCAACACGGTCAGGTGGCAGCCTGGCCCAGGCAGGCGGAGACGGAGGGAAGGACGAGCCATACTGTCCGTGGGGTCTGGAGGTTCCCGTGGGGTCCCTGGAGGGTCCCCCTGGGGGCGAGAGGGGACAATGAGGTGCTGACACCGATAATCACCACTGCTCCAGTGATCTTTTCTGGGGTGCGCTCTGACCAGACTTTCGAGGAGAGTCCAGCCGTGACGACGAGGGCTCTCCAGGACGAGCAGCGGTATCGGCATCGTTTCCCAGGCATCATCCGATCCGACTTTTCAATTCGCGTCCCCAGAGGTCCCGACCCCTTCCCCAGGGGTAGCTGCTCATCCCGCACCCACTGTTGATGGTCCCAGGGCCCAATGACGGTCCTCGCAAGCCGAAGTCGAGAGAAAACGCTGGGACTGGAACAAAGCAGGTCGTCGGATGTATCTGGGCACCGCGGATTCGCCTCGTGTCGAACCTGGCGTTGGTTCCTGACACCGCGGGGATTGCTCAGCCTTAAACGATCGGCCGCTTCGGAAACGTCATCTCCGTCAACGTCGACCGCTTCTGGGTCGCCGGCGGCGCTCAACGCTGAACGCCGGCGGCGGCGGGGCCGCTGCCGGTCGACACACGTCGCGAACGTGCCGTAGCTTTCCTTCCTCTGGTTCCCGGGAGGTTCCCCAGGAGCTCCTGGGGTGTCCTCTCTCCTGGGCGAGGCGGGGCTACTTCTTGGAGTTCACATAGTCCAGCTCATCCTCCAGGGCCTCGTTGGGCGTCGCGTAATGGGTGGGCGATACATGGGGAGGCCGCGCGGGCTGCAGAAAAGGGGCCCTGCACCAAGAAGGGCCCTTTTAGGGCCCCAAAAGGGAGCCTGCAGGGCCCGAGCAATGCACGTGTTGCCCCACCCCAAATTCATCGCCCCCCCACATTCCTCGCCATCGCTCGGACGTCCATTCCCCGTGCATTTTTCGGATTCGTGCGTCTATACTTCTTTTGCAAGGTGGCCCAACATGCTCCGCGATGGTTCTCGCCGAGGAAGAAAGTGCACGTCCGAGCGATGCCAAGATTAGGCGACGCCCAACCTGACGCGCCGCAGCGACCTCCGGGATGCTGGGGAGCGCTCTGAGGGAGGCCTCGAGCTTCTGCCTGGTGGCCACCAGGCTACTGGCCTGGGGCGCTTCCTGAGGAACAAGAGACTGCATAAGCATACCGCGGCCGAAGACAACGACGTTTAAAACGCGTCGGCGTTCAGAACGAAAAACGAAACGAAGCCGAACGTTTAAAGTGAACGCTCATAACGAAACGAAGCTGGTGCCAAACGAAAGCGACACCGAAGCGAAGCCCAACAGAACAACAACGAAGCACGAAACGGAAAGCAACACAGGAGCCGACACCAAGCTGATCAGCGCTGTGCTCGGTCTCTGCAAACATACAGCCACCGTGCTGCAAGAAAGGAACGCACGACAAGGAGGGAATGGGGCTTTTCTGGCAACGGCGGGCCTCGGCCACAGACGGGCTCCACGACACAAGCCCGAGGAACGGCCAGAAAACCCGAGCGCCGCATGAGCGCCCAGAGGTCGGCGCGAAGCTCTTGGCTTCGCGGCGAGCGAGGTGGGGAAAGTGAGAAGGAGAAGGCCTTCTCAGAAGGTTCGGAAGCCCCCCCTGGCCTTCTGAGAAGTTGGCTAAGCTCTCCCCGAAGACCAAATCAACGTACCAGAAGGCGCGAGGGCCTCTGAGAAGCCCCGCCGCCTGCTGAGAAGGCCTTCTCCTTCTCGTTTCCCCCCCCTCGCTCGCCGCCGATCTTGGATCAGCGACGGCACCCCTGGTGGCGCCTCCGGCGCCGCCCCTGGCGCGCCCCATGCAGCCATCGGGCCATCGGGAGCGGCCAAGAGGGGGGTGTCCAAGAGGGGGTGTGCAAATCATGACCGGCGGCATGTGCGCGGCCCAGCGGGGGGGCCAGGGACGTAACGAAATAAGAAGAGGCGCCATGAAGTCTGGGGAAATATCATGGCCCACGCCAGGATACCCACCCACCCCTGGTCATCACCCCCCTCTCTGCCGCACCACGCATTAGAGGGCCAGCACCGATCGGAGAGCTCCGGGCGGACCTTCGGGAGCATGTGTTGTTTCTGCCGTTGTTGTTCTTGGAGCCTCTCGGCAGCAGGCTCCGCCTCTGCAGCTGCCCCTTCGTCCCTTCGGGCCCCTTCGTTGTGGGAGCTTTCGGGGGGGGGGGGGGGACCAGGGAAGGGGCCCCAGGACACACCAATAAATACACACAAATAACAACAATTCCCTATATTTTCCCATATCTTCCGGGTTGGGGCCCCAGGACACACAAACAAATACACACAAATAAAACTAATTCCTCATGGTTTCCCACATCTTCTGGGCTTTCGTCTTCCCCCCCCCCCACTTCCCATACCTTCCTATACCTTTTCCTGGGAATCGACGACTCATCGTGTCTGTGTGTTTTTGTCCCCTCCTGGCGGGGCACCAGCTCCGGGGGAGAAGCACCGGGCTGGCATCGGCGGCGCGCCGCCGACAGGTCGGCAGTGCCCCCCCCCCCCCGATAGATAGGGCACCTGCATGCGCCTGGGCGCGGTGGGCTGCCGAGTCCTTCTCGGCGACGGGTGGGCGATTCGGGGTCGATGCATCTCTCCTGAGACAATCCCCCCCCTAACCAGGGGGAAAACATACCTACCTCGCTTCTGACCACCCTCGCTTCCAAGAGACACCAAACGATGCCAAATTGCAGCCTGTACTGGTAAGGCCGCTTGACGAGGAGGCGCATGGTATGGCTTGGTTTTGCCTGGAAGCGAAGGCGGGGTAGGTAATTCACGCTCTGACTAACGGGTTGCCCCTGATCCTGCTGCACCTCGCCCGCGGTGGTTGCGTCCGCAGTGGCCGTCTCGTCCGCCTCGTCCGCGCTGTCAGCCTGGAGGTCTTCTCTTAGCATGGGCGACAGCACCCTTCCACCCTCCCCGGTGTAACATCACAAGATTCGGCTTCAAATGGCAGCTTCGGCTTCAAATGGCACCGGGAGCAAAGCAAAATAAAATGTACCCACGAGGGCCCAGATGCTTGCAGATTCGTTGTTTCCATGGCGAACAGCGGACGAGGCTGGAGCATACGAGTGTCTGACGAAACACCACAGCACAACGTCTGCAAGCACTACGGCATTACAATTACTGCAGGCAAGACACTTCCTCTGAACACCGCACCGCGTAAGAAAAAATCCCACCAGCCCTTTGGGCGTGAGTGGTTTAGCGAGCCCTCTCTGTTCTCAACCCCCCTTCTTCCCCTTCGGGGAGGGGTTTACCCCTCCCCCTACCCCCTCCCCCTGGACCTGGAGAGCGGGTTTCGCGGGTCGTTGGAGGGGTCTTTTTCGACTCCTGGGAGGGCTAAAAAAACGACACCCCTTACGAGGATTCTGGCCCCGACGGGGGGGGGGAGAAAAAACCCTTTCCTCTTCCTTGAAGCCAACATCATTGATTTTACTACGGTTTTGGCACCATTTGGGCCTTCTGAGGGGGCAGCGCTCATGAAAGCTCCCCCCTCCCTTCAAGGCAAAATTATTGATTTTACGAAGGTTTTGGGCTCATTTTGCCCTTCCGAGGGAGCAGCGCTCATTAAAGCTCCCCTCTTCTTGGATCCATTCCCTCCAAGATGGCCCCAAGAAGCGCCCAGGAGGCACCAAGAGGCCCCAAGATGGCCCCAAGAGGCCCCCAGGATCTGATTACTAGAGCTCGTCCTCAAGATCGGTCACGCTGGTGACGATGAGGAAGAGCAAGAGAAAGTATGTGTCGATGTCAATTATCGTGATAATTGTCGGTGAACACCTTTTGTCCACGATATGAACGGCCGCGCTGTAGTGTGCGCGGTCTGCCTGGCACAGCCAGGCTCTGTCAGAAAGAGTCCCGCCCTCCCTCGCCTTGAGCCGAGGGTGGCGGTGGAACGGGCAGGGCAGACGGGCAGGAGACAGCTGCTGCTCAAGCTTACTCCTGCGTATCTTTCAGACAGGGGGAAAAAGGTTCTGCCCTGTACCGTGCGCGCAGGCAATCTCTGCGCTCCGTGTGTGCTGCTGGACGGACTTCTGATGGGCCTCGATCTCCTGCTGCAACTTCTGGATCATGATCAGGGATTCGGAGGCCGAGAACCCAGTAGAGGTCGTCGAGCTGGAAGGGTTCCCTTCCATGCTGGCTGGTGGTTGTGCCTGGCGGGCCAACCTACGCTCCTCGAGTACCTGACGAGCTGAGGCTGGGTCGGTCGGGTCCGTCTCGTCGAAGATGCCCTTGCCAAGAGCTGCCCGCTTGCGAGCGCTCATGAACTGCTCGTCGTAGATGAGGCGCCACTGCTGCTTCTCGAGGAAGGCCCGGACCACTCCGAATGCCTGCCAGCTTGCCTTGGTTAGGCCGTCGGCGATCTGTGCGTGTGAGTGAACCCAGCGCACGACGGTTTGACCCTCGTCCAAGGCATTGCGGAGAGCCAAAGCCTCGATGGCTGTCCTCCGCTCTTCCAGTCCCAGTCCCGCCGACTGAGATCGCACCACGCCGTCGTAGAAGGCCTTGCAGTCCGTCACCAGGATGGCTGGTAATCGTCGTAGTGCTGCTGCGGTATCTTGCAGTGGAGACATATTGTGTAGAAGTTCGGCAAGTACCAGTCGCGCCATGCTCTGTTCGCCTTCGGCGTCGCCGGCTTCCTGCACCTCCGCCGCCAGGCTTGACCGAGCCACGCGGCGCAGCTTCTTGGAGCCCCAGTCGAGGACCGTGAACTCGGAGAGCTTCCCGCCCATGGCCGCCTTGGAGGAGATAGCGGTGATATGACCACCCTGGGAGTGTCCATCCGGGCGGCTGGCCCAGGCTGCGTCGCACCAGGTGAAGATGGCGAGGTCGTCCAGGGCGTGCCGGTAGATCCTGATCCCCATGTGGCGGCTCTGCTTGACGAGCTTGACGATGTTGTTAGCGGCCGTGAAGAGGTTGTGAGTACCTGCTGGTATCTTCATCTGGAGGTCGGCTACCCACGATAAGAGAAATGGCATGGTATTCACGCCAAGCCAGTAGATCTCGCCGCAGAACGCCCTGAGCACCGTCTTGTCAGAGTCCGTGAGGCTGTCGGTGGTCCGATGCTTACTGCCGCTGGCCGCCTTGACCTCCTTGATCTTGTCGATGTACGACTTCTGGTGGAGGAAGAAGCCCTGCTCGCTCTCCTCGATGGTGACGCCGCACTGTTCGAGAGAGGTGAGCCCGTCATTCATGTCCTCCCAGGTGCCCCACTTGTAGAGCCCTCGGATCTGCTTGACCATGTCCTGCCACTCAGGGTGGGAGGTATCTCCTGCCATGATGAAGTCGTCGACGTGGGCCATGATCATACCGATGAGCATACCCGTCCTGGAACATCGTGCTTTCCAGAGGCAGGGCTCCAACTCGCAGGCTTGGAGTCGAAGTTTCGCAAAGTCGTGCTTGACCGTCTCCCACCAGTGCCGGGGCGCCTCGCCGATCCCATATCCAGGTTTCACGACCTGGAGGATTTCCCCTTCCTGCACGTGGAAGGCCTTTCTGAGGACGGCGTCTGGCTCGATGAAGAGGTCCTTGTCGAGGTCGTGGGCCTGCAAAAAGGCGGAGGTGACGTCGCCCTTGATGAGCTTCCAGCGGTTCGCGGCGGCCACTGTTAGCATCACGTGACGGGCGCGCCGAGACGCGGTGGGGCTGGCTGTCGGCTCCTGTCCGAGGTCCTTCGTCTGGTAGCCGAGGAGGACGAGCCGGGCCTTCGCCTTCCCATCGGACTTGCGGGTGAAGAGCCACCTTGCCCGGATGACGTCCGCCGCGTCCTTGACCCGAGATATCGGGACAGCGCGGAGTCCCTGATGCTGGATCCAGTTGTTCGTCTCCTTGGCGATGGCTGCCTCGAACTCCTCACGCTCGGTGGCGTTCATCTTGGACCAGGTCAGCTCCACCTTGTCCTTCCGGCGCTGGTTGACGACGAAGCTGTCCAGGATGTGGCTCATCAAACCTCGGCGTCCGACTGGAGTGGTATTCTCGTCCTGCAAGTACTCGAAGTAGACGGTCTGCTGTTCGTCGATGCCGAGGGTGATGTCCAGCTTGTCCTTGAAGAGGTCGACCAGGTGGTTGCTGTCGAACAGCGCGTCGGCCATCTCCTCGTCTGCGCCTTTCTGTCGCTTTTCCGGCGGTACGTACAGATCGAGCTCTGGTCCGCGGTGTGACATGCGCCATCTAGGTCTCGACTCGCCTCGGGATGCGGCACCGGCCGCCGATGAGGTCGAGGTCGCGGGAGGCGGACGCGATGCTGTTCGAGACTCCGTCCTGACTGCCGCTGAGGGAGATGCTTTCCCTGGCGTTCGTGATGGGGCTGCTGACCGGTCCGCTGCACGAGCCGGTGGTGACCGGGACCGTCGGACATCTGGTTCACTCGGTTCCACTTCAGGTTGCGTCGCTGAGCTTGGTGTTGGTGGCCTGGAGGAATCAGGAGCGCCGGGTGTGTCGTTGTCGGCGCCTGAGGGGAGTCCCGCCTCGCTGTTGTTCTCAAGAGTCTGGCCCTCGGTCGCGGGGATCGCCATCGTCGGCTGCGGTGGAGGCTCGTATTCTCGGAGGTCTGGAGGATTTGGTCCGAGAAGGTCTTCATAGGTACCGCCCTTGGCTGTCTCCAAGATCTCCGTCATGGTCTTGCCAAGGTTGCTCTGCCGCTGCAATTCGACGATCATCTTCTCTGCCTCCGAGGCGACGCGTAGCTGCTCCGGGGCGCACCTGATGAGCACGCTCCCGTGGGAGATCCAGATGACCGAGGTAGGACGGGCGCGCCCGTCCACGTGTCGTTTTTCCTGAGCAAGGACACGAGCAGGGCCGTACCATCCGCCCTTCTTCCCAGGGCGAGGGTCAAGGCCTTTCCCTTTGCGCCAGAAGTAGACGAGGTCCCCCGGATTCCAGGTCTGATAGACCCGGTTGCGGGCCTGTTCGGCGTGTCGACGACGCTCAGCATACTCTACTTCCAGGAAGCTTTTACGCGCGAGGAGGCGCCTCTGCTCCTGAGTCTCCCCGGTGTCCCCGTCAATGATGGCGAACGGGTTGCTCGAGGCCGGCATCCCAGAGACGCCCATCACGTGCTCGAACGGGGAGTGGTTGCCGACCTTGTCCATGCTGTTGATCGCGCTCACGGCCCAGGACACCAACTCCTCGACCGGGCAGTCGGGGTCCAGTGTTGCCAGCTTCGTCATCAGTCGCTTGAAAAGCTGGATGCGCCTCTCGACCTTGCCCATCAGCCAGTGGGCCTCGCCCGGGGCAATCCACAGCTCGATGCCGCGGTCCGAACACCACCTGGCCACTGCTTGTGAACGATGACAACCTTCGGGGTCCAGACGGATAAGGCTGGGGCGTCGGTAATGTCCGCACCAGTCATTCCATGTTGAAATCACCTCCTGAGTCGGTCTGTTGCCATTGCGCTCTCCCTTCTGTCCATGATAGGTGACACTGGTGAGCCCGGATCCCTCGTCGATGTTCAACGTCATCAGGAAAGAGTCCTGCTTCGCCGAGAGCCACTCGAGCCCGTCGGAGGCCAGCGCCTCTAGGACGCCTGGCAACTCGATGCCCGAGGCGACCCTGACGGCTTTTGGTAGTTGTCCCGCATGGCATGCGTGACACTGGAGGCGAAGAGCTGCTCGTAGGACCTGGAGAGGTGCTCCCGATGCCTTGAGGATCTTGTACAGCGTCTTGTTGCTCGGGTGGCCGAGGTTGCGGTGGAGCCGCGTCAGCCGTTGCTCTATCTCCAGCTCCTCCTTCTTGGTCGGTGTCTCGGAGATGTCCAGGCCCTTCATGACCGACTCGTCGTCCATGGCCTCGGGGTTATCCTGCAAGAGGTCCTCGTCGAGGGCCCCCTCCATCTCCTCTTCAGCGTCCTCTGGGATCTGTTCCAAGCTGGTGAAGA